GCCGCAAAAGCAAGAAAGAAATGATGGCACAGGATATTTTTTTCCTTTTTACATGCGAGTATAGTAAACACATTTATTCTATTTAAGTTTGTTCGCGAACCCGATCATGTTGTAAAAACAATGAAAGATTTTAGTCTCTCAGTTATAGAAGGTCTAATGGCACTTTGCAGGCAAGAAAGAGCTGAAAAATGAAAACTGAAATCCCCAGTTCAAATAAAAACTAAAAAACCATTCGTACAACCAGAAAAGAGACTAAAAAATGTAAGTTACACATGCCAGAGAGAATGGAGCAGCAGAAAATGTGCATATTGCAGCACATCGAAAGAAGAACGCCGAACATTTTGGATGTGTGAAACATGTGAAGTGCCTCCATACCTTACAAAAGAATGAAACAACATGTTTTTCAAAGTTTTATGAAAAATGACTTTTTTTTTTTCATTTTTAATCATATATAAATGTTTTTGAATCAAGTGCCAATTTTAATATTTTATTTAATATCATATGTACAGTATCAAATTTTAATCTTAAAATAATATTCAAGAAAATATTTCTTTTGTTCCTAAATTTAAAAATATTAAATATATGTATGGAAATGTGCATATGCAAATTTTACAAGTCATGCATAATGCAATAAGTATACAAATGATTTTAGTGTGTGTTTATATGAATATTTTAGAATGCACGCTTTATTTGTTTATTCATTCCATATATGATTTTTTTTTCCTGCTATACACCAATATGCTATAAGACATGTGCTAGTTGCATGGTGGGACAAACGGTATCCACCTTGCCCCATAAAAAATAAAAGCGCAGAATTTTTTCAGCCTTAAGGCACTTAAGTAAGTCCATCTGACTTATTCTAAGGCATTTTTTTAAAGATTAAAATATATTTTAAATATGCGTGTCGCAAAGGGTTAAAGGAATTTCTATAAAATTTCAAATAGATTAACATTCTAAAAATATTATTACCTGTGAAAAATCAAAAGTTATAGAGATATAAAATTTCAATAAGAAACAGCTGTATTCTTTAAGAAAACAGAAATTTTCTTCTTCAGGAAATTTACCACAAGTTTAAAAATTAGGATCTTAATTTAATACTTGGTAGAATAAGGTATAAACTACAATCATGAAATTACCAAATGTGTTTATTAATTATAAATGAAGATGATAAGTGCAAGAATAGCCTTAATTTATGATGGGGCACGTGTAAAATCAATAACCTTAACTTTATCACTGCTAAATTTAACTCTATCACCGCTACAACTTTTAACCTTCAAATTTTATTTTCGAAGATATTGCGTCATATCAGTTAAAGAATTAGAAGAGTCTATTAAAATATATATATATATATATATATATATATAGTTTAATTATAGAATAAATCACTTTATAACTATAAATAAATTATTCTTATCTTTCTTTAATTAAATATATCCACCACCCTCCCATTTTTTAATGTTGAAACATACATCTAATCAGTCTCAACCATATATGGTTAAAATAGCTTTTCAGGAACTTCGCAATGATATTTCTCACTTCACGCTAAAATAAATAAATTAAAAATAATATAATAAAATTTATTTAGATAAGATAGGATAAGAGATTTATCATCGAAATATGATAGCTAACCACTTAACAAGAGAGCAGAAAAGCTTATTTTCGACTTGGTAAAATATACTCACCCCCAAAAAAATACAATAAAATAAATTTTGAGACATATACCATTTATTAAAATAACAATCACAAATGCATTTTATATTGATAGAAGTCATGTGTCCTTTTATTCATATGAGCTTTTATCAATGTGAGCTTATTAGCGTGGGTTTATATCTATGTGCACTTTTATCTGTGTGGGTATTTGTCACATGTGAGCAATTATCACAATAGAGTTCTTTATGCAGGCTTTTTTTTTTTTTTTTTTTAGTAAGTTGTCAAGTGGGCTTTCATCTGATCACTGTAACTGATTTAATAAAAATATTAATGCTTGGTGCACTATATAATAAAAAAATTATGAAGTTTTTTCACTATCAGGTATTTGACAAGAATCTGTATTTAAGCATCAGTTATAACATTCATTCTAAAGCCTACTTTTTCCATATTTGCTTTTGACATTAATAAGCTTTTAAATAAGTAAAATCCATTGAAAACATACAATTTTACACAACTGTGCTAAAATGTTATAATCTTTAACCAAATAACTTGATAATTTCAATATATTTAACTCTCTGGTTTTTAAGATTGTAAATAATTTATAACATAATATTTATGTTTATAATTTTAAAAAATACACAGACATATATATAGAGAGAAATTTAACAAATACACCATCCACATCTCTTAGTTATCTAATGAAACCTACAAAATTAAATTTCGGTTAGAGTAGACCCTTGTATTATTGTGAAGTTGTTGTTTCATTTATGGTAACCTGAGTAGTTGAATGTTCCATAAATAAACTTTTACCTAGAATTGAGTGCTCCTTCGACTTTTTAAGTGAAAATATATTGATGTTTACATGGACAAAGTCAAAGAAGTGTGCAATGCCTACTCAAAGAACTGCAAAAACTCAGATATTTTGGGAATATCTGTTGGATATCCACAGTAGGGAACCCCTTGAATTAAAACCAACAAAACTGCAATAAAATGCCAAACGTGAACAGTTTCTGTTCATCTCTAAGACTGCATTATTAGAGGAATCATTCAGCCAACCCACCAACTTGAACTGAATTAAAAAAAAACTTTTAAGCTTGAACTTTTCACATTATCAATTTATGCTCGGATGCTGAGAATAAGTTGCAACTTCAGTATGTGACTTTTCTTTGGTACTTAAGTCTTTGCATTTATAAAGTAAGTACACATTATTGGAAGTTAATAAAACATGTTCCTTCTGCTAATGAATACATAAAAATAAATAAATAAATAAAAAACAGAACAATTTTCAAATAAATATCTAGTAAGCATGAGTTTATTACCTACAAGGAAAAGGCATTTGCTTACCGACTCATTCTTTCAATCTTGTGCCAGTGTTTGCGTAGTGATTCATTTAACACGTGGCTGCCATACACCTACAGTATACAAGAAGATATCTTTAGAAGTACCTTGTCATATACTATACAGATATGGTGTAGGCATCCAAGAATAATTTTTCAGTTTTAGTACACCATATCGCAATTTTCGTAAGCATTCTTTTTGTTTCATGCCAAGTTCTAACAAATTTTACAGCAAAAATTATGATCCTTCTTTTTTTTTTTTCTTTTAAATCTTAAAAACTTGCTTTTAAATATACACTAACAGGATTTGCCTGCAATGGAAGAAACTCTCATAAAATTTCTGGAAGTACACAATAATTTGCTGCAAAATCACAGAGAACAGCTGCTTTAAAATTGCTATAAAAGGAGCAATTGCTTTGCTGCTTTCTTTAAGACATCAGTTATAAGGTATTTTCTTCCTCCTTTCTGCATGCCTTTGTGGTGTAATGGTAGCACAATCGGCACATATTCCAAGTCCATGTTCGAGTCCCGGTGAGGGCATTGCACATCTTTCACACCTCCTACTTCAAAATAATCATAATGACTCAACAGTTGCATCTGAACTAAAAGGTGGTGGATGATGATTCTTCACCACCTGGATTTGGTGACAAGGGTCCCCTAATACCAATTTGCTCTTCAAAAGGGGGAGTATATATGGTATTTTCTCTCTCCTTTCTACTTGCCTTCGTGGTGCAACTGTAGCACACTTGGCACAAAAGGTTCAGGTTCGAGTCCTGGTGATGTCGTTGCACATTTATCATATCTCCTACTTCAAAATCATCCTAATGATTCTACACAGTGCAAAATTTCCATCAGAAAAATATAAACAAAAATCCACTTTAATAACTAGGTTTATTTATGGATTTTTAGGGTAAATACTTGATTGAAATGTAAAATATGATGTATGTACGCATATGTAATAACCAGTGTTTTACAAAATAAGGTAAACCACAAGGGGGGAAGAAAAAAATCTTTTGCTCAGTGGCGTAGCTAGGGTGGGGCAAGGGGGGACATCTGTCCCCGGGCGCAGCATTTAGGGGGCGCCAAATTGATGTTACGAAATTTTAGAATGAAATGTTTTCTGTTCTTGGCACAGAGAAAAGGGCGCAAAATCTTCAGTCGTCCCCAGGCTCTGAAAACCCTAGCTACGCTACTGCTTTTGCTCAAGGAAACTTTCATTTTCCTCAAAGACATTTAAGTGCATGATGCATAGATTACTGGTCACATTGTTAGCCTCACCAGTTAGAAATTGACATTTTAAACAAAGAATACTTCGCACATAAACTAGATTAGTAATATTTGATTTCAAAGGTAATTAGTTATGTTTCTGACGAGGATGCGAGATGTATCTAACTGAATTGCTAAATAAGATGTCACAAAACAGCATATATGTCATCTTTCCTGCTGTTTATAAAATAACTGTGGAAACAAACAAATGATTTATTAACAATTTAGATGAAATGACAATTGTATACATCACATAATGAGGCTTATTTGCTGCATGGGCCAGTCGTAAAAACACAGCTAAAGAAAGATTGGTACTATTCCGTTTTGAGGACCGTAAAAAAATTGCAGCAAAAGTACCAAATCTAGCAAACATGCCCATTTGATGCGTAAGTTTTATAGTTCTATATTTCTTAAGACGCCATTGAAATACTAGTTTAATTTTTTAATCCTTTTTTGATATCCTATGGATTTAACAATTTGGGAATTGCCCATGAAGAAAAGTCGGCTAATCTTTGGAATATGGTAACAGGTAGTTTGGCGACATTTTGGTAAGGCGATAAAGGTTACTAGCTAGGACTTTAGCAGTGTACATGGATAAAGTCAAGAGTGTGCGCAATGCCATTTTTGTGCAATTCTGGAATGTTTATTTAAGTGAAAATAGGTCGACGTGTACATGGATGATACTGTGTATGTGCAATTCTTAAAAACGCGGCAAGCAGTGGGTGATTCTGCACTTTCTCCCAATTTTGCACCTAATCTTCCTCAAGATTAAGCATTTTTGTTCCATAAAAGTTCTAGTATAAGCGTAATTTGGCTAGCAGATTGTTGGAAAAAATTTTGAGTAAAAAAAAAAAAAAAACTTGCCTCTACTTTGTGTAAACAAAGTGGCGTCCAAAACAAAACTAGCAGGTTGCTGTAGCAGGGTTGGTCGCCAAATTTTCGCCAAAAAAATGCTAAGTTACCATAATCCAAAGATTAACTGAAAAGTCTGCAATAGAATTTTGGGTAAAGAGCAGAATCACCCACTGCTTGACGTGTTTTTAAGAATTGCACTTACACAGTATCCATGTACACATCAACCTATTTTCACTTAAAAAAAAATCCCAGAATTACTCAAAAAGGGCTCTGCGCACATCCTCGACTCTATCTATGTACACAACGACCTATTTTCACTTAAACAGTAAAAGAAAATTTACCCTTATAAAAAGCGGCAAACAAATAATTGGGTGATTTTGCACTTTACCAAGAATTTTTCGGGGATTTTTCCATAAAAAATGCATCATTCAATATAGAAAATTATGTTTGAACAACCAACAAGATGAAATTATGCTTTAGAGGTAACTCGGTAGTGAAATAGCAATGCAGGCATCCACTCAGTTATGTTTAGCAATTTTTATATAAATTATAAAAATGATGTGGAATAGTTATTTACTCTTATGCTTCCATTCAGTCATGTTTAGCCATTTTTATATAAATTATAATAATAAAAACGTACTATATGAAATTAACTTTTTATCTAAATTAAAACATCAATCTTAGATAGTTATTTACTATTATACTTCCTTTCTTGCGTTAGGGTTGCTACAATTATTTTTGGCAGCACTGTCATTAACAATAGTTTGGGATTTTTTACGGCTCTCAAAACTGAAAGATTCTTACTAATGTAATTTTTCCTCACTACATGAAGCTTATCTAAACATAGGTTTATTCACATTATTTTTCCACCCAAATGATTTGTTGCCATGTAAAACCAATGATGATTATTTTCTGTGTGAATATGCATATGCTTGTTTAAACAACATTTTTGTCTAATTTCTTACATATTACACCCATGAGGTTCTTTTCTTATGTGAGTATGCATATGATTCTTTAAATGCTGCTTTTGCCTAAACGACTTGTTACATATTTCACACAAATGAGCTTTCTCTGCTGTGTGAATATGCATATGCCTTTTTAAATTTGTCTTTTGACTAAATGAACGGTTACATACCTCACATACATGAGGTTTCTCTGCCGTGTGAATAAGCACATGCACACTTAAACTCCTCTGTTCTCTAAATGGCTGATTACATATCTCACACCTATAGGGTTTTTCTCCTGTGTGAACAAGCATATGCTTGTTTAAATTACCCTTTAATCTAAAGGACTTGTTACATATATGGCACAGGTGAGGTTTCTCTGCTGTGTGAATAAGCACATGCCTGTATAATGCACACTTTTGTCTAAATGATTTACTACATACTTGACACATGTGAGGTTTCTCTCCCGAGTGAATAAGCATGTGCTTGTATAATGCACCCTTTTGCCTAAATGCTGTTTCACATACTTCACACACATGAGGTTTTTCTCCTGAGTGAATAAGCATGTGTCTGTCTAAAAAACACTTATGTCTAAATGGCTTATTACATACTTCACACACATAAGATTTCTCATCTGTGTGAGTAAACATATGCCTGTATAATGCACCCTGTTGATTAAATGACATTTCACATACTTCACACACATAAGGTTTTTCTCCTGTGTGAATAAGCATATGTCTATTTAAAAAACACTTATGTCTAAATGGTTTATTACATACTTCACATACATGAGGTTTCTCTCCTGTGTGAATAAACATACTTGTTTAAATCACTCTTTTGTCTAAATGACATACACACAAAGTGTCTCTGTGGTAGAACTATGCATGCGCTCTTTTGAAATATTCCCGTTTTTAAATCACTTATTACACAGCTGTTACTCAAGTTTTTTCTTCATAAAGTTCAACATTTGTTGCCCTTGATATGTGGTCATGTAGACCAGCTACATATTTCACATGAAGTTCGCGTTCTGCTTGTATGGAAAATGGGTGTTTAACAGAAATTTGAACAAAAGTTCCTAATGGTTCACTCGCAAACATACATGAGATTATTTTTATAAAAATATTAATGCATACCGTTAGGCTCATCTACTGCATGAAATAAGCCTCTCGTGGTTTTGAGTAATATTTCATTAAAAGTTAAGGGGGCATATTTTCAAATTATGCGTCAGCATATACAACTTTAATCGCAAATTTATGCAATTATACCACATATACTACAGTACATGAACATGAAGTTCTAATTTTCAGAAGTTTAGGAAGTGTTTAAGAATTTCAAGGGTAAAATCCTAGTATACGGTGCAGCCTTGGCGTGACTTTGAAAATTATTGCCAACACCAAAAATGATCCAAAGAACGTCCACATATATACTATACACACATAATATATGTATATTAGGAGTTTTACAGAATTCCGCAAATCGGAACCCGGAAGTGTGTTCTACGTCATCACCGGATATGTACCTTTGATATCTCCGTTGGCAACAAAGCTTGGCGAGCATTTGGCGTTATTTTTTTCCCGTAAATTTTTCCGCGAGGTCAAGAATTGGCGCTAATTTAGTTCAAGTGTTAATTAGCGAGTGTGAGGTGTGTATTTTTTGCGCCATTTTTCTCGCTTTCCTTCAGCTATTTATCTTCTTTTTTTCTATTAATAATTATTTGTATTTTGTTATATTTATGATAGTGTTTGATTTGATTTTCATTTAATTTATAGTTGCTTTTTACTTACAGCGTATTTAATTTACAACATATATAATTATTGATCCTGTGTTTCGATTTGTAGTTGTTTGTTTTGCCGATATGCAACCAAAAAAGATGAAATTACTTATAATTGGAGATTCAATGGTTAAATATTTGGATGAATATTTACCGGCGAATCTTCTGAATTATGAAGTAGATTAACATTCGGAAGCACTTCCGCAGAGAACCCGGTAAATGTAAACATCGCCAACTTTGGCGATAATAGTTCAAACCTGGTAACCTAGCTAATTCATCCTATTCGCTTGTGCGAAGGTTGTCGTTGTTCGCATTTGGAGATTTATATTATTCTCTTATTTATTGTTATTTTTTCCGAATTTTTTAACAACGAATAGATAGAAATATTTTCGCATAATTAAAGAAGTTTTCGTCGAAAGATGCCGGTTCTCGGCTCGTCAGTTCGGGATAAGTACGTAATAATGAAAAATGACACTTGTAAAAGAAATATTAGTATTCTATATGAATTAAAGAAAATACATATGCCAAGTATAACGTAAACGTAAGTATAAGAATACTAATTTTTATTTTTTAAATGAATTTCTATTTCCCGTTATGCTTAATACACTGTTTTCTGTGCTAACTTGAATTTAATACAAATTTATTTTCGTATATCACGTTTAACCTGTTAGTTTTACATCTACACACTTATTATCTGTGAATTTTTACTACCATTGTCTGCTAACTTGAATTTACATACACTAAAAACCACGTTTACGGCTCGGCTCATAGGAGCTTGGCGAGTAAAAATGCAACGGCGCCAACGGGTTCTCTGCGGATGAAAACCCTTACATTCTTTTCCTGGTGCAACAATAGAAAGGTTAAGACGTAAGATATCCTTTTTGGACAATCGATACCATTTGATTTTGGTACATGTTGGTACCAACAATTCGAACGACAGTGTTGAATAGAGCTGGAGCAAACCGCATGTATTCGTTACTGAGTAACGGGTACATCGGTTGACTCGAAGTACCGATTCGGTACTCACAAATTCATTTCGTTACTCGCATCTGTCGTACGATGCGGTTTGTTCGAGTACGAACGATGCGGTTGCTATACGAATACGAATGATGCGATTTCTATGCGAATGCGAATGATGCGGTTGCGTGACAATGTGCTCATATTTTTCATAGATAATTTTGAATTTTTTTGGGCATCGGGCAAACTCTTGTTTACATTATGTGTTTTAGTTGAAATACTATTTAGTTGTTGATATTTAAGAAGATGAGCAATTTTGATAGCGGGAAGCGTTATTTTGTATTTGCTTTTTACTATTGCTATTTATGTTTGTAATTTGAAAATTTAGATGGTTATTTATTTATTTTTTTTCTTGAACGTGCCATAGTGAGATTTTATTGATTTGAAATATTTATATACTGCACTTAGGTATTGTTTATATAAGAATATGTAGGTTAATATAGGTTCTTTACTTCCTTGTATCAAATAAAATGGTAGTAATTATTGTAATCGAGAAAACTTTGGGTATCATATTTTAACCGAAATATCCGTTTTTGACAATTACGGAATCCATGTGAATTATTTTTTGGGGTGACGTATGTACGTACGAACACAATGAAGGACTCTCTCTTTTTTTTTTCAAAAAAACTTATTGTTAAATGTAATCCCATTTACTCTAAGCTCATACTTATGACTAATGATTATGACTCTAAGTTGATACTTGAAAGGGATTTTTTTCGTGATGTGCAAGTACGTATGTATGCATTTTGCATAACTCAAAAACGATTAGTTATAGAACGTTGAAATTTTGTATATGGGTCCGTTATAACATCTAGATGTGCACCTCCCTTTTTATTGCAATCGGTAATGCTACCAAACATAAATATGTATATATATATCAAATAAATTATAATTAAATGTAAAGTACATATATATATGTACTTATAATTAAATTTAAAGTACACACACACACATAAACATATATATATATATATATAATAATAAAAGCTTTGGCTTTTATTTTATTTAATTATCACTAAATAAGTTACTTGACTTTTATTTTCGCATCATTGGTTGTAGTCAGGACTTAATTTTTAAAATTAGAAGTGCTGGAGCTCTATGGAAGGCCATCAGGAAAGATGAATAAACAAATAAATAAATAAAATAAATAAAATAACTATTACAATAATAAAATAATTAGCAACTAGAATATAATAAAATATTATAATTCAATAAAAATTTAAAGACAAATGAAAATTTAGTTAATTCTTAAATTAATGATGAATAACTAAATAATGAAATAAAGTACCAGACATCGTCTTGTTTGGGGGCTGTGGCTAAAATTGCAATTTAAGAACTAAGCCGAGCATTAGCTAAATTTAGGCTTTTGATGAGAAAATAATGTACTGTTTACCAGAGTATAGATAGAAATTTGGTTATGTAGCCCATTCTTCTAAAACGACGTTTCGTTGCTGCCTTCCACCACCAATTTTTTTTTTTTTTTTTTCCCGGTTTCGGTTTGTTCGGTCAGCAAAGCACACTAGGGCTATTGCCCCTACGGGGAGGGAGGCCTTCGTGGAGGATTTTTTAAAGGGAACTGACTCATATGCAAGTTACACACGGGGAAAACCACGAAAACGCCCGTGCAGCTAGCCGTTAGCCGGGAATTGAACCCAGGACCGAACTATTAGTGCTCAGCGACTTCACCGCTCGAGCTCTGGTGGGCTCTTTTTTTCTTTTCATTCTCTGTTTGAAAAACGGGTGTTCACTTTACGATAAAGTAAGCACCTGTTTACTTCAATTAAAATGTGTGAGACGATATGACTCTTCCTACTTTAATCTCACTTAGCTTTTGATTTCTAATATTTATTCAATGTTTTCTGTAGACAAAGTATTCTGATTAGAATAATGGATATCAAACATGTTCAAAAGGTGTGTATCTGAATATAATTAGGTTTTTATAACATAGGGCCCATTTTATTAGTTTCACATAGTTCTAAAGCAATTGACCACAGTATCGTTGTTTTGAAAGAAAGTAAAAATGTGAGAAATGTATAATGAACATTAATATACAAGCTTTATTAAAAGTAGTCGGCCTTTTAAAACGTGACCGTCTATGCTTTTAGATGATTTTTGGAGCTCTGTGCATTTGCTCTGGCATCTTAAAAAAGTGATGTTCAATATCAACGTATGTTTATGTTCTCAAAAATACAGGTTTCTTTCAGAAAGCGACCTCTTAGAAGTCGTCAATAAATGATTCAGTATAGTTATTTTCTAATAGATCATAGAATAAATTTATTTTAACGTCAATTTTAAAATGGCTGCTTGTACTAAGAGTTAAGAGCAATAAGACTCTAATTTTTCTTTTGCAATTAGCTGTCATGCCAGCTGAATTGTTTTCTGCAGAATCGTATTGTGTATAATTGAAATATTTAGCTATGCATTCAACAAATATACAACAAATGGAAGACAAATCATTAAAAAAATTAAAATTTGAACATTAATAATAATTTTTTTGTTATACATAAAATATTATTAATGAATGATGAATTTATATCATATTATATATAAATCAAAATTTAACTCCTATACCTTTATAATAAATTGGAGAAAAGCTATAAAGTGAATTAATTTTTAAAAACAAAACGAAAATTTAAAAAAAAAAAAAATTTTGTCATATACCTAGAATCTAAAATTGACGAATATTGAATTTTACGCCTCATGTGTGTATGCGTGTGTTTAATTATGGCAAAGCACACTATGGCTATCTGCCTAAGGGATGGATGCTTTCGTGGAGGACTTTCTAAGGAAAACTGGCTTGTATACACGTTACACATGGGGAAAACCACGAAAACACCCATATAGCCGGATCGTTAGCGGGATTTGAACCTCGAACCGAACTACCAGTGTTCAGCGACTTTACCACTCGGCCGCTGGTGGGCCGTTTTACGACTCATATAATAATAAATGCATATTCATATTGTAACAGAAATTTTGTTAGAAGTCTAGCATATGTATAGTTATTTGTGATCTTTTAAAACTGTCGTAACATGATGCATATTTATCATTATCATGTGAACCAAAACAGTATGCGGTTTACATCCTTTACAATATACGTGATAGATTTTAATATTTATTTCTGCATATACTTAAGTTTCCCAAAGACACGAAAGCAAGTTAGGCAGATTTTCGTTGCATTAAGCAGACGTAAGTCTTAAGTTCTCTGTTAGCTAGTGTAACATAATTTCGGATTCTATGAGCCTTCCAGAATTATTAGCAAAATAGTGGAAATGTCTTTACAAAGTATTTTTATAAGCAAACAGCAGATGTACACTGAGCAGTGATCAACTGATATATTTCTTAAATGATTTGGTTTAGTTTATTATGACAAAACACACTGGGGCTATGTGCCTAGGAGGAAAAATGCCTTCGTAGAGCACTTTCTTAGGAAAGCTGGCTCGTATGGTACGTGGTAAGCTGGCTTGTAAGCTGGTACGGGAAAAAAACACAAAACGCTTATGAAGCCAGCCCGTTTGCCTGAGATCGAACTCAGGTCGGAACTACCAGTGTTCAGGGACTTTACCGCTCGACCGCTGATGAGCCATTTCTTAAATGAATAAAGGTATACTCATAGCATTATGAAATAACATTGATTGAAATATTTAGTGCTTCACTATTTTATCTATCTCTAATAAAGTAACATAAAAATGTCCTTACCTTTTATAGATTTCTAAATTTCTTTTAAGTTCTTTCTTAATTCGTACTTAACCTATGCATGTGCGAATGTTTTTATCGATTATATTGTTAAGTGTAAAAAGCAAGTTGACATTTATAACATTGCCATTCCTTGTCTCAACAATAACAGTCTC